CTTGTCCTTGCCATGGCGCAATCTCTCGCGGTGTTGGGAATCAGTATGGGGTGGCCGGGAGCCTGCCTGGGAGGTAGCTCTGCACTGTGGGGAGTCCAGCCTGCAGGATGGCTCAGAGCCTGGTGGACACCAGGCTCTGGGCCCGGAGGGCCTGCTCCCAGTGACACCACCGGTGGATTCTCCCAGGTGTGTAGACAGGTGTATTGCCATGTTAACTGGGTGTGTGTGTGTGTGTGTGTTTACTTATTTATTTCATTCACAAGAAAGATAGACAGAGCAGCATCTCCAGTCCGGTCTTCTCACCCCGATCCACCTCCCGTCTCAGTCAGCCCAGATCAAAGGTGTGTGCACACCTGGTATCCTCAGGCAGCTCTCAGGACGTGAACCCAGGACCTTTCCCATGTGGTGCAGTTGTGTATCAGCGATGCCACTGCCTAGCTCTGACAAACAACTCATGGGAGTGTCCTTTCTTGGCAAAGTTAGAGGGGTGGGATGGACCTGTAGGAGGAAGTCAGACACTGACCCCATTCTCACATAAGCAGAGCAAGTTCATCAAGCAGCAGGTGGCTCCACCCGGAGCCGGAACCAGTCTCTGGGGCCTTGGGTGTGTAGCCTGCAGGACAGACCAACTGCAGAGGACCATGACATTTACATTCTGGAGAACGAAGAGCCTAGATGATCCTAATTCCTATCACGGCATTTCTTTCCAAGGTCGTGATATCTTTCTTAAGTCTTCCTAAGTCTTTTGACCTTAAGTACGTTGTGTTCTTTTTCTCTCTGAAGGTGGGTGGAGTATCTTAACCTTTGTGATCCCAAAGCAGCCTGTCTAGAAGTGACTGTAGCGCTGAGTGTACTGCATGAGGCAGGGACAGGGACTGACTCGTCTGTGTGCCCGAGCCTGGCATGGTTCCTGATGTCGCACTGACGATGCATGAATGCTCCCAGAAGACAAAGCGAGGAAAACAACTCACGGCCCTAGCTTACGGATGTGTATGTCATTTTATGTCCTCTTACATATCTGTATCATATGTAATAACCAAAATGATTTCATGCCAAAGGAATTCAGAAAACCAAGCGTTCTGAAGTACCAGTTTCAGCATCTTTTTAGGCGGAATCTTAGGTTTCACTGGAAACCATAGTAGTGTGGAGCAGAAGCCTTGTAGGCCTATCAGGTGGGCTGGCTTCTTCTGTGTTCCGGTACAAAGCCCACAGAGGAACTTGCCAGACGTGACATCTATGACTCGTGCGGCTCTAGATTATTTTAGTTTCCAGGGAGTTGCTTTATTTATTGATCGATAACTCTTTAATTCACACTTAACTATGTTTAATTCTCACTTTGGTTCTTGACTTCTATTTTGTTATATTCCCTTGAAGTTAAACATCCAAGTATGATACCAGTTGCCGATTTCCAGGGAAAAACAATGTTTAAGTTGGGTTAAGAGTCTTTTTACTGAATCATTCACTCGTGGGCTGATTTCTCCCGAAGGCACAACCAGGCTCAATGAACCTCGGAGGCAGAAAAGACAGTGTGTTTTGTGTTTATTTTTCAGCTTATACTTTTTTTTTTTAACCTAAGCATATCATTTACAAATAAATAAACATGCATACTCAATTTGTTAACTGTCAGGAATACGCAAGAAACCTACTGAGAGGCCTCTGTTGTGATGGGCAATTTATCTTGTTGGGGTTCATGTCCAGGTAAAAGGGAGAACGTGGCTGGTTCGCCTCACTGTGCGGAGCAGCTTTGCAGCACTCCTGGTCAATGGCAGTGTGGAGGGCGTAAGGCTTTGGAGAGTGTTCCCTGGCCCCACGTTATGAAAGTGGGCTCCCCGTGGTACTTTGCAGAAAGAGCTCTCCAAGCCAGTCCAGATTCTTTCCCCACCACCTCTTTCCCGTGATGTTGAGATCATGCTCAAGAAACCAAGAACCTTACTCTTGGGCTGACCCATCCTCGACTTTGCATCAGAATGTAGTGTTAGATTTCTGGCCCTCAAGGTCATGGCTAGTAGGCAGCTGAGATTGTTTTCAATGGTCCTCGAGCAAGAAGGGCTGATGTTCTCCATGCTGACTGCAGGGATGGGGTGTGGATCAGACATTGTTGGGTACAATTACCTCCCAGAATACAATGCATCTCCTTGTAGACATCCCAGGGAGATAATTTGGACATAATGAAGATCTATAGTAATCAGATAATTACTATCGATTGCTCTTTAGACGTCTTGATGAGGTAATTAGGGCGTACTGGAAAGAAGCTAGAACTGATTGATTGGCATGACTGTAATCTCAAAGATTTCTAATTATGTTTCTTTTCTTCTAATGGCTTATAAACAAACATCATTTTAGCTTTAGAATTTGTCAGGTGCCAGGTTTGCCGGGAACATCCGCTTTCTCTATTATGCTAACGAGACACAGAACATGATCAACATAAGCTCATTATGCCTTCCTGCAGAAGCAGAAGCTGCAGTTAACCCTTGCTTTTCTTATTCTTCTCCATTTCCACATGGTCAGACTCTTGTCAAGGAATGGGGTGTGCAGTGTTGTGGGGGCCATTCCACAAAGAGCATGGATGACTCTGGGCTGGAAGACCAGGGTGGCCTACTGGGGACCCTCGGAGCCTGCTGAGCTGCAGGCACAGCGACACAACCTGTGTGACGAAGTGGCCAGCTGACAGCTCAGGCTCCTGTCACAAGGAACTGCACTCGTCGGTCAGGAACATTAAAGCTCAGGTCCGTGGTCTCAGGCCACAGCACACGCTTCTCTGCGTCAGCGTGCTGTTGCCTCACGGCTCCATCACACACTAATTGGAGGAGTCCCTGACGGAGACCACATTGCACATGAACCTAGTACTCCCTCCACCTCGGTGGCTCGTGCTGTGTGGAATCGCGGCCTGACCCAGAGATGGTGGATGCTAAGCAGCAGCTTGAATCGAGCTGCTTCCATCTAACCAATGTCCAAGAGCTCTGCACCTGCTGGACGTTACATACGTGCACTGGAATTCGTGCGACAGAGGCAGAAGGGTGTACCAGTGGGGAGGAGACAGGTCCTCATAAGCAAACGTCCTCACTGTGACCCACCTGTGCTTACTGCCCTGGTAGGTGCCCCACATCTGTATACGGCATTGTGAATGACCTCCTGTGGACACATACTCCTGCTCTATGGAAACAGCACCAAAGAAGGAAATCCTATTTTGATCTATTTTTTCTTTGAGAAAATCTATTTTTTCCCTGGACTCTCATGTAAAAAAAGAAAGGTTACAAGTTGCCTACATTTGTATCATTAAAACTTTTTTCCCCATTTTTTTGTGAAATTTTTATGATAGGGTGCCATGCACATGCCAGAGATGCAGAAAAACAGACAGAAAGTGAGAAATCAACCCCCCCTCTGGGGGGGGCGGCATGGCCACACCACAACCTCCTCTCCTCCATTCTCTTCTCCAGCTCTTGTGCATGCACACACATGTGCCCGGCGTGAGTTTTAAGCTACCGGGTCTAGGACTTGAACAGCGGTCAGCTACGTGGGAGTCCAGCTACGTAACCCTTACACCATCTGTTGGTCCCAAAACTTTTAAGGCATGGGAGCACAGGGATGGTTCAGACAGCAAAGGGGACTCAGGGTAGGTTGTTCACTGATCACAGTGGTCAGGTACTGTGGGGATAACTGCATCTGCCATTGGAAGCACTTCATTAACTCCCATGAACCAGCGCGAGAACTGGGGGTGTATACAAAATTCATCTTCGCTTGAAATCCCTACAGTATAAGTACATAGCAAATACTGAATCAACCCCAATTCTTAAGTAACATGGTTCTCTTTTTAAAATTTAATCTGACTAACTCTTTAATATTTGGTGTTGAAAAACTTTCCTTATCTGTATCAAAATATTTTCCTCTAATAGAATGAGCATATTTCTCCTTTTATATAATGGGAATTATACAATGGATTTTTTAAATTAATTATTTTATTTAACTTTATTTATCTTAATTTGACCAGAGAGGGACAGTGTGTGTGTCAAACAGAGTACTGACCATCTTTTTAAAAAATATTTTAATTAACTATATTTATTATTATTATTATTATTATTATTAATTTGACCAGAGAATCAGAAAGCAAGCCACCAGGTCCAGGACTCGAATCATATTCGGTCATGTGGGAGTCCAGCACCCTTAACCACCATGCCACCTGCCGGCCCTATAATGGATTATTTTAAGGAAAAATTTTATGATTTCACTTCAGTACATAAAGAAACATGAGACTGAATTAAATTTCTAAAATAAGTTCCAAAGTTTTGTTGGTTGACTTTATCAAGTTCAAGATATGGGCTTATCATCTAGTTATTTGCTCCTTCCCCTAAAAGTCCATTGAAAATCTATTTTCTTATCTATATTTATATTTCTACCTTTTTTTCATCTTATTTTGGGGGTCTCCCTGTTTTGGCTTCTGATTGTTATTCTCCAGTATTTGAATAAAAATTCCCCTGTGGAGCCATTTCTATGGCCTAGTCATTCAGGGAGCTGGATCCCACATGGCCAACTGCAGTTCAATTCCCAGCCCTGGTGGCAAGTAAACATACCGTGAATTTGTGCATGTGTGCATGCTCCAAATTCTGACAGGATGGGAATATGGAAGAGAAGGGACTGTGTTATGACCAGCCCCTTAAGGGAGGATGCTCTCCCTCCCTCCCTCCGTGTCTAACAAGTACACGTACCTCTGCCCATGAAAAAGTACAAAAATAAAAACTCATCATTTGGTAACGGCAGACCCTGATTTGGTCCACAGCAGTGTGATGTGGATTTGTGGGTCGACACGGAGTGTCAGCTGCATATACACGGCAGGGGCTTCAGATGAAGGGTCCCAAGGCTACAAAAGCGATGTTCATGGTGTCATACAAGTTGGGTCGCTATTTGGGAGGCACGGTGAGGAAACTTTCCCACCCAATGAGGAGGACCTAGGAGCAGTGATGTAAGTCAATAATGTGCGTTTGGTTTGGGGCATGTCCTTCTAGGAAGTTCTACAACTTGAGAGACAGATGGGAGGACAGCTCCTAGAAGAACCGAAGGCTCTTCATTTCAAAGGCAGCACCCACAACCTGCGCCTGTCGATCCACGATGTTGCCCATTCTCTCTGGAAGAGCAAATTGCTGGCTAAATACCAGGTAAGGTGCCCAAACTGAACTAAAGACTGGGTGACAGCTCCTAGAAAAAGGACTCCACTTACATGGACACGGGAAACCCCCTTCCTTGAAACCAGTCACGTCAGTACTCATTTCTCCAAGAGCTTGGGGTTATTTCAGATTTTTGAAAAATGCCTTACATATATATTTGAAGGAATGCTTTTCTAAAAATTCTCCTTTAAATAATTCTGTTTTATTTGTAGTAAACAAAAAAAACTTCTAATGCTATCGTTTTGATTCATTGTCATAGTAAATGTTCACAATGAATTATTACCAGCAGCTTCAAGAGCCAGTAGGTTGCATCGTGGTCAAGGCACTAGACTCCCACATGGCCCGCCACAGTTCAAGTCCCAGACCCAGCAGCTTGAAAATCACACCACGCATGTGTGCATGCATGCCCAAAATCCAAAGAGGAAACTGAAGGAGAAAGGATTGCGGTGTGGGCATCCCCCCCAGGGTGTAACTTCTCACTTTCCCTTTCTCTGTCTCTCTCTGGCAAGTGCATACACTCTGGCAAAAACCTCCCCCCCCCCAAAAAAAAAAACACAAAAAACTAAAACCTTTTTAAAGACAGCCTCAAATGCACTCACAGAGAAGACTGGAAAGACCCTGTTCCCCCATGTGACACAGTGAGGCCTGTCTTGCTAGGGAAATAGTGGCCTTCACCTGAACACGAAGAAAGAACCCCAGTTTGGGAACAGAAATAGTATGTAAAAGTACACCCAGTCAGGATTTTACTGGATAAAGGCATAAAAACACCGGTCCGATCTCTCAGTGTAGCTACCTGTGGGACCGTCACAGACCTCCTGGGGTTTCCACCTCCTCTGTCCATGTCACCTGAGCTCTCAGGAAACTGACTGTTTTGATGGAGCTGTGAGCCTAATCCCCTCTCCCAGGAGATGCAGACACTTAAGGAAGCTGCGAATCTATGTCCACACGCACACAAACCCCACCCAGACCCAGAACCGACCCAGAACCACAGCTGGCTGCTAGTACTTTCTTTCTTTCTTCTTTTTTTTTTTTTTAAGAATTATTTTATTCCTCTTTGTTTATTTATTTTAATTTGACCAGAGAGAGACAGAGTGAGAGTGAGAGAGAGAGAGAGAGAGAAAGTAAGTGAGAAAGCAAGCCACCAGGTCTGGGATTCAACCTACAGTCGGCCATGTGGGAGTTCAGCGCCCTTACCCACCATGCCACCTGCCGGCCCCCTGGCTGCTAGTTCTGAACAGAAGTCAAGAACACACAAGAGGAACGAGGAAGACTTTTCAGCTACATTCTTATTATCCTTTGTCAAATACACATAAATTGTGGGAAACAAATCTACTGGCTTGGGCCAGCCATAGTGCAGTGGTTAAACCCTATGTATGGTGCCAGATCCCACACAGTTGACCACAGTTCAAATCCTGGCCCTGGTGGGTTGAAAAACATACCAGGTACATATGCATGCCCCAAATCCTGGGTTGAAAAACATGTTGGGTACATATTTATGAATGCCCCAAATCCTGACAGGATGGAGCAATGGAGGAGAATAGATGCAGTGTGAAAGTTCCATGGCTTTCTGGTGAGCACATCTCCTCTGACCATGTGTGTGTGTATAAATAAACACAAATCCTACTAGTTTGTTAGCTATGAGTTTTGGGGAAGTTGCTTGAAAAATTCCTATCTGAGGGGTCAAAAAGCCCAAGGAAAATGAGTACCATAAACAAAGTATGCATTGATTTCAAAAGTTTCTGCACCAAAATAAACCCATGCTTTAATTCTAGTTTTCCCGGGACTTCTGAAATCCCCTCATCTATAGCAAAGTCCCTGACTGAGAGAAGGCTCTAGGCTTTTCTCACCACATTTCTTTTGCTTTCTTCTTTCATCTAGGTTGCAACCATCATAAAATCCCACAAATCTCCTCCTTTAATGAGCAATTTGCTTTATCCAATGATAGCGGAAAGTACTATTTTAATAATAATAATAATAATAATAATAATAATAATCAAGCTCACCCTGGCTGAGTGCTTTCTGTGGGCTACACACGCT